TTAATGAGCTTTCATAGATTTTTTTTACTTGTCTATATAGATTTTATAAGGTATCATTATATTATAATGTTAAGTAACAGTTATTTTTGGGAGAAAAATAGTCGTCTACTTGTGAGTTTCTTGATGCATTTTTCAAAAGTTCTCCCGCAGTAGGTTAGTAGGAGCTTGTGGAAGCGATAGCCGTAAACTTTACGTAAAGGCGTAAAGGTTCGTTTTGAATAAAAATGATTTGTCTTTGACTTTAACTTCGGCAGAAAGACAATCGATTAGTGCAACATCCGTTTTAACTCTAGGCCTTGTAACGATTCCGCAGTTTAGTGAGTGGAGTCTTCATACTGATTAACAGTTGAGGTCAATATTATGTATGTAGAGATATGGCAGATGGGCAGCAGCATCTTTTTGATAACAACTCAAAATATGTAATAAATAGAACCGGCCAAGAGCGTGTCGGGCCACGCTCAGTGTAGGGTTCCGTAGTTTCCCGTCCGTCACAATAAGTGTTCCCACTTATGTGTTTAAAGGTGGGTATCCATTATGTTCGCGCTTCAGCAGCGCTCCGTGCTCCTGCAACTGCTCCCGGTAGTGGGTACTGTTGGTTCCATCCAAGTTCAAAATAATTTTCCTAGAAAGTCCTTATAAAGTTCTACTTTTCAGATTTTTTTCATATTTTCTAAACTTATGGTTCAAAAGTTAGAGGGGGGGGGGGGACGCATTGTTTTTTACTTTTGGAGCGATTATTTCCGAAATTATTGACATTAAGTATCAAAAAATGATTATAGTAAACCCCTATTCATTTTTAAATACCTTTCCAACAATATATCACACGTTAGGGTTGAAATTAAAAAAAAAATTACTTCCCACCTTACATATAGGGGGGGCTACCCTAATAAAACATTTTTTTTCCAATTTTTATTTTACCACTTTGTCGGCGTGATTGATACACATATTGGTACCAAATTTCAGCTTTCTAGTGCTAACGGTCACAGAGATTAAGCGAGGACGGACAGACGGACAGACAGACATGGCGAAACTATAAGGGTTCTTAGTTGACTACGGAACCCTAAAAACTGCGGTTGCCAACCCGGTTGCCGAGCGTGGCAACTATGGCAAAAATCCCCCCCCCCCATGAGGTAATCCATGAGGGAGGCCTATGTCCGGCAGAGGACTTTTATAGGCTGTAATGGATAGATAGATGTTAGATTTCTGTGGTACCCATATATTAATAATGAACAAAAAGTAAATCCAACCATATATATATATATATATACAACACGTAACATAATTAACGCACTTTGAGAAAGTAGTTTGTTCAGAATCGTTTACTGAATCGATTCCTATCATTTTTAATATAAATAGTTTTTTATCCCAAAAATAATTAAAGCTACGTAAATTACAGTCACACTAAATCTCTACAGACAAAACAAACTAAAATAGACCGTAACTTAAGGCAATAAGACTTAATAATAGTGCAGTTTTATTTGTAATATTATTAATTCTGTCATTCCATAAAAATAAAGAAAAATGAACTTTATTTCAAGCAAGTTAAAGTCTTTGCGTTCGTGGATTTGTACTGTGACCATAACCACAGATTAATAAATAGTTTACCAACCACAACATTATTCCGGAATTAGTACAACTAATTTGATAAATAATCAGTGCATAAAAATGTTTAACTAAAAATTCAGTGTATGTATATTATGATTATAACATAATATACTAATTGGGGTGTCTGAGGGTGTGCGTTAATTACGTTACATATTGTATGATTGACACGCAGCAAAATATATGATACTTATGTAATGAACGTTTTGTAAGAAAATTAAATGTTTAAAATAGGTACCTATAAACGTTTCACAGTCGCAACGATTTTTGTTTTCGGTGCATCACAGACAATATAGCACAGAAATCGTAATAATAAGACAGTAGAAGTGACATAGACGCGAGACCTTGTCGCCGCTATGATGTGTTGATGAACATCATTCACCGTTTTGTGATTTAGTTGCGCGGGGCGCGGGGAACGTTGTACGTGAATTTATGTTAAATTATAATGGTAAACTGCAGCATAATCAGTAGAAAAAACTCATCAATCATGAAGGACGTGTAATTCAACTAATAAAAGCATAACATATCATCGGTAAGATTATTTACTAATTATCATTGTTTTTACTAATTTACATCTAGAATCTACACGAATACTTTACTATGATATTTACCGTTTGTAAACTTTCATTTATTACGTTCGTATTTTATAATTACCATTGCTGCTTTTGTTCTACCGTAATACGCGACGCACATGACGTTGACAAATTCGCAAAGCAATGTAATGTGAAACATTAGGTATGATTGTGCATTACGTTTGTTTATAATATGGCTGCGGGCATATGTGTTAAAATGTGGCGACATCGGTTTTGGAAGTAATCGAGCGCTAATTCATTTCTATTGTCTTTAATATTTCTGTGCGATATAGTGTTTGCTTTTTTTAGTATTTTGTTGTGATAATTATTTAATATTAAAATTAAATAAATGTAAAATAAAATTCCTTAGAAATATTTTCAAAATAACGTAACCGTGTTGACCCAATACGGTTGCGATTTCATTACTATTCAAAACAACACACAACAAAGCGGTGAATGTTTAGGAGATAAAATAATGCAGGTAACGCAATAAGCGGGCAACGAGCTCAACTAGAGCACAACAGATTTCACTATTTCTGTTTTATAACTTTAAACATTCCGTTTGAACGAGATACGGAAGGACATCCTTTATAAAATTCGGAGAAGCTTTTCCGTATAAAAACAAAATATAAAAATCGTCGTCGTTGCGCAACGGTCAAGGGCGGGCACATTCATAAAAGTTGAAATTAGTCTGGATTGACATTGACCTTGAGTTGAGAATAATCTTCTGTCCCATATTATTCCCTTAGTGTCGTAAGAGACAGAGTTGAACTAGAAAATGGCAGCAGCATCTTTCTGATAAAACTGAAAATTATTAAAAAAAACTGTGGTTTTTCAACCCGCTCGCCAAGCGTGGCAACTATGGCAAATATCCCCTTGATGAAGCAAGTTAAAGAGAGGCCTATGTTCCACGATGACTTTGATAGGTTATAATTAAAGAATAAATGACTATATCGTTAAGTTGAATATTAGTAATGTTTATTAATAAAGTAAAGTAAAGTAAAGTTACAGCCTATATACGTCCCACTGCTGGGCTCAGGCCTCCCCTCATTTCTGAGAGGGTTTTAGGGCAAGGAAGTGTCCGCCGCGCTGCCCAAATGCGTGTTGACGAACTTCACATGTCTTCGAAATATTTTTTTTCTTATTCCTCAGACATGCAGGTTTCCTCACGATGTTTTTCCTTCACCGCCGAGCACGTGGTAAATCAGCACTTAAAATTGCAATTAACAATTTCATTGGTGCCGGCGGGGATCGAACCCGGGTTACTTGCGTTCTGTTATATTTACAGCGAGCGTTAACCACTGAGCTACCACGGCTCTATCTACCGCATGTTTATTAATATTCTTTAAAAAAAAACTTGGGATCGATTAGCGTCAGTGTCGATGAAATTATATTCAATTATCACGTTCTCAATAGCAACGGAAATTTTTTTAAAATAATAATAAACCGGCACATGTGATTGATGCTTTTTACAGGAGAGTTATGAACTATATATAATATACTACATGTCCCACTGCTCCCATTTATTTTCTGAGAGGAAGGTACAGGTCTCATTTCTGGGAGGACAATTGAGCAGTTACGCCGCGCTTCCAGTGGGTGTTGGCGGACTTTATATGAATTATTTACATTCTCAAATAATGGTAATTATAATTGCAGTTAAAATTTCGATTAATAATTTCATTGGTGCTCGCGGGTTTCGAACTAGAATGTCTCCTTGCACTATTTTACTGGCATCATTTAAGAAGATAGGAGGGACTATCTTTCATTACTGCCCGGCGTCATGGCACCCCTGGCCTCTCTTGCTATTCCAGTGGCAAGACTTTAAAAAGTGCTCTTACATTTTGTGCTCACGTTTTGGTCAAAATTAGATAAGAGACTTATAGCCAAATACTCACTACTCAATTTTAAGATGTCGTTAAGTATCGTGGTGTCACTGTCTCTTTGACTTAAAGTGACACGAGACTTAGCGATTTAGTTTGAGCATTTGGGCACTAGTCTCTATCATCGAATATTCAATATTTTCTTATATTTACGCAAAGACTACATAGGTATTGAATATCTTTAACTACTTTTATGGATGTTATCGCGTTCCGAGTGCTTTCCAGCATCATATTTTTACAAACACTGATATAATTTTAGCATGAGATTTTATGTATGCAGCTTCTACCCGCACTTACTTATTTTTATTCTATTGTGTTTTGTGCATTTGACAGAATTACAATGGCATTAGCGGTTGTTAGAGTATAATTTTGCTTAATAATGAAACAGCAATCTGCTGTGACGTCACATAGCCTCAACAATCTTGTGCCATCGCATTATATAGAATTGCGACAATTATCCTTCATAAAAAAAAAACAATCATTATGTAGTTTCTTTATCACGAAAATTAGTTTTTATTCTCTGTATGATTACGTACATTTTACATACTAACTACGACGAGCACATAATGTGAGTAATTCTTTAAAACTACGCTTAGCCAAGTCGATTTGTGGTTAGCGGGTATTTTTTTTATAAAATATATAAAATAGAAGTGACAAACGAAGTAGCTAACGCAGGCTATAGACATTTGCAACCAACTTTAAGTAAAGAACTATGGAGTGTAGAAGTAAGAAGTACAGACTCTGTATTCAAAAGTGTCCATAGGAAACCGTTAAATAAGTGAACAACGGAAAGGGCTCTGGCGATGCCACTCCTCTGGGATTCGTCCTAGGGATTCGGGGGTCAGACGGCAGTCGCCCCGGTAATTGGCACTAAGCCACAAAAAAATGGAAAGTAAAAGAAAGAGATATACGTTTAGGACTAGGGCGTCGCCGCATAACGACGCGCATGGGGATCACCTTAACCCTGCGACAAGTATGCGAGGGCTACCGGGTACTTGCGGCCATACTTGCCAGGCGTAAAGTGGCAGTGGCGTTCCTGCAGGAGACACGGTGGAAGGCCAACAGGAGCCGAAATATTGGGTACGGCTACAAGCTGATCTATACAGGCTCTTCTGGTGGGGAGAACGGTGTGGCAGTGGTGCTTGCCGAGCATTTCCAAGATAGCGTCTTGGAAGTTAGACGCATATGCGACCGACTTATGGTAGTAAGGTTGCTTGTTAAGGGTGTCGTGACCCACTTAATAAGTGCCTACGCCCCACAGGTCGGCTGCAGCGACGCGGATAAGACGCTGTTTTGGGATCGGCTCGGAGATTTACTACGCGGCATACCGTTGTCCCACGATGTCGTGTTGGGTGACGACCTGAACGGTCATATGGGCGAGGTGCAGGGGGATAATGAACGTGTCCACGGCGGCTATGGTTACGGTCGAAGAAACGCAGAGGAGGAAACCATTCTCAGAACCTGCATTGCAGCTGACCTGGCCGTCGTGAAAACGTTCTTCAAAAAGAAAACCAAGCACCTGATTACCTACAGGAGCGGTCGGAACGCCACTCAAATCGAATATCTATCTACTGATCAGGAGAATTCATATCAGTAGCGTGGCCAACTGTAAGGTCATACCTGGTGAGTGTCTCACTGCCCAACACCGACTTCTTGTCATGGACCTCTGCGTAAAACCCCGTCGCAGACACGCGGAACGTTGCCGCCGTCAAATCAGCTCTACTACTCAGCACCGGGAAGTGCACCCTCCCGAACAACTCCCGAACCATGGACTCGTGCCACCGATTACGCCTGACGAAATCCTCGCATCTCTTCGTCACATGGAGAATCGGAAAGCTGTCGGACCGGACGAGATGCCAATTGAAGCGTGGAAAGCGCTGGGGGCTCGTGGTGTGTGCATTCTTACTAACTTTTATAATAGAATCCTGAGCGACCGAATAATGCCCGATCAGTGGCGGCTTAGTATAATAACGCCGGTCCACAAGGGTAAAGGGTCCGTTCAGGATTGCGGTAATTACCGCGGTATAAAGGTGACGTCATACACCATAAAGCTCTTCGAGCGCATTATTGACACCAGGATCCGACAGGAGTGTACAGTATCGGACTCCCAGAACGGTTTCCAACCAGGACGCGGTACCATGGACCCTATATTCGCCCTAAGTATCCATAAGGAAAAATCCATAAGGAAGCATAGGGAAAAGAATATGCCACTGCATTTTTTATTCCTAGACCTGCAGAAGGCCTTTGACTGTGTTCCTAGAGAGATGATCTGGTGAGCGTTGCGATCGAAGTTGGTACCAGAGACCTATGTGGAAATCGTACGTGATATGTACCGCAACTCCAATTCAATAGTCAGGACCGTTGTTGGTGATACCACCCCCTTCCCCATAACCGTAGGCGTACATCAGGACTCCGTCTTAAGCCCCTATCTCTTCGGTGTGATATTAGACGAACTGTCAGCCAGCGTACAGAAACTACCGCAGCCTTGGCTGCTTATGTGCGCTGATGATATCGCACTGGTAGATGGGGACAAAGAACGGCTCACCCGACGCGTGCACGCATGGAGGGAGGCGCTTGAGAACGGCGGGCTGAAGCTAAACGTGGCGAAGACGGAGTATATGGCCTGCAACAGCACATATCTGACGTCTCTCCGTATAGGCAACGACACCGTCGAGCGCATGGACAACTTCAGGTACCTACCTCGGATCTGTGCTTGATGAGTCCGGTGACATCGATCGCGACATCAAGGCCCGTATATCAGCGGCCTGGGCGAAATGGCGAGGTGACGGGTGTCATTTGTGACCCCAAAATGCCGGTCAATCTGAAGGGACAGGTCTATAAGACCATAATAAGGCCTCCCTTTACGTACGGCAGTGAAGCGTGGCCGGTGCTGGAGCGACACCGGCAGTTGTTGCATGTCATGGAGATGAACATGCTGCGTTGGATGTGTGGCGTCACGCGGAAAGACCATGTACAGAATACATACATCCGCGGCAGCCTCCATGTCCGTGACATTGCTGACAAGCTCCAGGAAAGTCACCTCCGCTGGTACGGCCACGTTTTACGACGACCGGCAAGCTACGTGGGAAACAAATGCCTGGACATGACCTTACCTGGTACCAGGAGTAGAGGACGGCCCAAGAAACGCTGGCTTGATGTCGTGCAGGATGACATGCGCGCCAATGGGCTAGTTGCGAGGGATGCCGAAGACCGGGCAAAGTGGAAGAGGAAGTGTAGGAAGGCCGACCCTGGGTTCTCCCGCAATGGGCGGGATGAGCAACCGGGTAACGCTAGGTAGAAGAAGAAGAATCACATTCTTTACTAATTATACGAAAAGAATCAGACTTCTATTTATACATTGGTCTTTGAATAGAATGTGTTGCTTTATTATGTTAGTGAACCTGGGCATTATGTCTAGCGCTCCTTATGAAAGATTACATTTTTAACTATAATATAAAGAAACATTCGAGATCGATTTATTGCCCCCCGAGCAATTCTTGTATATATATATATATATATATATATATATATATATATATATATATATATATATATATATATATATACAAGAATTGCTCGTTTATAGTAAGTATAGGATATCTCAATGTTTCGTATGGTGAGTGTAAAGAACCGAAGACCCGTTTTACTTGAAACGAGGCATTCCATTTTATTTCTTAGAGGTGACAATGCATCTTCGTTCTTAATCGAGGGAAAAAGTGGACTGTGTGTTCGTTTGTCACATCACAATCACAAAAAATATATATACCTACTTATACCTGTTAATAATTTTCAAATGAATCATAGCAAATTAGCAAGGCAAATAATTCAAATTTCTCTCAGAAGTTTTAGTTTTTTTTTAATATTAAATATATCTAATATATAATCTAATATTAAAATTAATACTTTAATAACAAAAATTAATATTTGTTTGTTCGTATGTTATGCGCTGCCATGCCGTCCATCACATTGCAGTAAAACTTTGTGAACTTATTATTATATACTCGATATTACAAAAATATTCTTCTGTGGTATCAACGCGCCGGATACCAGCTAGTAATATGTATTTATCAGTTCAGTTGTGTAAATACCTTTATATGTATACACTATTATTATTCCTTTCAATTACTTGTTCACTTTCTAATCCAGTATCGAGTATTGGCCATAGATATTTGTATTATTACGGAACCGTTGCTAAGTACTAAGTATTACGATATTTGAGATATATATGTATGCAATCGTATTCAGCAGACATTATCATCTACTACTACTAAAATCTACAAACTACATAATTACAATAAAATCATAACTGAAAGATGTTGACATCGATGAAAACCAAACATCCATTGTATCCATCAGACCATCGTGCCATTGCAGTTTCACCACTACTTGTTACCAGTTGTAACCACACGATATCATACCGTAGGTGTTGTGTGAAGCGGCAGAGCGAAATGAAACAAGTGATGGGCAGCACAATCTTCCTTAATAACAACTCAAAAGAAAACTGTTCTCCTGCAAACGTTACACGTAATTCACATAAATAAATTGCACATGGACGATCATCCAGACTGTGAACAATTATTCGTGTGGTCATACAAATACTTACTCTGTGTGGGGTTCTAATCTGCGACTTGTAAGCACTACAGCTATGACCTTAGCGCTAGCGAGTTAATTAACAAGCAAAATGGTTGGATGAATGGATAGTAAAAAAAAAACACTGCTGCATTGAATAACATTGTACAACGTTGTTGTTGTGTTGTTAAAATCATTTCAAAAGTCCTTTCAAACGAATTCTCTGCAAAGCCATACAAGGACAAACATATCGCAGATTATTATCATCTCATTGGCTACCTGATCTTAGTAACTTTATTTTAAAAAGAGTGCGGCTACGGGTAGGTCAGTCAACTCCACAATGGCATTCCATTGTTTGTGATCTAGCAAGTTAAGATAATGTTTTTTTTTTTCGCTATTAAAAACTGCTAAATCGAATTGAATGAAGACGTAATCAGGTATTTTATTATACAATAATAATATTTTAAAAGAAATTAAAAACCGACTGGAAAACTAAATAAAAATAAAGTACATTCTATATAATAGCTTCTGAAGTAGCTGCTAGGACTTAGGAAATAAAACATAGTTGTGTTTGTTGTGAAAAGTCTTTAGACTTTTACTCCGCTCCGTTTATGATGCTAGCAAAAGGTTTTACCTTTGCGTCTGTATCGGCCCTAGTATTTACAATTGGGAACATATACACGTCTTCATATTTATGATGCTAGCAAAAGGCGTAAATACTAATTGTAAATACTAGGGCCGATGCAGACCTTTGTGTCTGCATCGGCCCTAGTATTTACAATTGGGAACATAATACACGTCTTCATATTTATGATGCTAGCAAAAAGGCGTAAATACTAATTGTAAATACTAGGGCCGATGCAGACCTTTGTGTCTGCATCGGCCCTAGTATTTACAATTGGGAACATAATACACGTCTTCATATTTATGATGCTAGCAAAAGGCGTAAATACTAATTGTAAATACTAGGGCCGATGCAGACCTTTGTGTCTGCATCGGCCCTAGTATTTACAATTGGGAACATAATACACGTCTTCATATTTATGATGCTAGCAAAAGGCGTAAATACTAATTGTAAATACTAGGGCCGATGCAGACCTTTGTGTCTGCATCGGCCCTAGTATTTACAATTGGGAACATAATACACGTCTTCATATTTATGATGCTAGCAAAAGGCGTAAATACTAATTGTAAATACACGTCTTCATATTTATGATGCTAGCAAAAGGCGTAAATACTAATTGTAAATACTAGGGCCGATGCAGACCTTTGTGTCTGCATCGGCCCTAGTATTTACAATTGGGAACATAATACACGTCTTCATATTTATGATGCTAGCAAAAGGCGTAAATACTAATTGTAAATACTAGGGCCGATGCAGACCTTTGTGTTTGCATCGGCCCTAGTATTTACAATTGGGAACATAATACACGTCTTCATATTTATGATGCTAGCAAAAGGCGTAAATACTAATTGTAAATACTAGGGCCGATGCAGACCTTTGTGTCTGCATCGGCCCTAGTATTTACAATTGGGAACATAATACACGTCTTCATATTTATGATGCTAGCAAAAGGCGTAAATACTAATTGTAAATACACGTCTTCATATTTCTGACAGTAACAGGCTCTTTGGCGCAGGAAACAGTTCGCCGCTCTACCGTACTAGTTGTTGCAGGTAGGACTGTAAGGCTTTAAGTATGTTATTCATTTATAATTTTAGAAATGTAGGTTTCCTCACGATATTTTCCTTCACCACTGAGCAGGTAATGAATCAGAAATCGTCGCGGGCGTAGCTAGTAAGAGATAAGGACCGAACCAAGAGGCATCTTGGTGCATGGATTTTGCAAGTTTCATAAAGCATAATACACGAACAACACAAGTTTGATTCCCTTTTGCGGCACCGCAGAAACGATTACTTGTTACCAAATGTTTGGCTTTAAAGAAACATTGTTCTTATTATTATTGAACATTGTTTCCTTACATTTATTAAAATCCTTAAAGTCCTACATATTCGGTTACAATTCTA